ATCTCTATTATGTAATAAAATAAAGGTTGTATATGATTGAAATTATGTTGATTCGTAAGATTATAATAGGAAATAATATTTATTGCATGTAAAAAGTATTAAGTTAATGTTATTGAAACATTTTGTTTACCTCGAAAAAGCTCGGCAAATGAAAGGTCGCCTCAGTAAAGCCTGACGATTTTTGACGTTGGTATTCCTGAATCGTCGTTCAACTGATACCGGTGGTGTTACAAAGTAAACAGTAGAGTTGTGTCGTGAGATATATACAAATATGTCAACGTCTGAGCTTATACACATATATATATACATATGTGTATAGTCTAGCGACGTTACCACATTTATGAGACGCTAATTTCGGCAAATGCATTTCGTATCGTTTTATTGAAATTACAACACCGACACGGCAGTATGACCTCTTCAAAAAATGACATGTGACTATGACCCATTCCCATAAGCGCAAACTGATAGTTCGCATAGCAATAAGGTTATTGTAATATTTCAATAGTTAGGTTACTTAAATAATTAATTAATATTGTAATGACAAAATGTAATATCATTTAAGATTTATTTTCACAACAGATTGTAACTAAAATAATGTAAAGTTTAAAATATTCGCAATTTTGATATTTCTAAGTAATGATCACAACTGCAATTCTGCAATACAATGCTACAATTAATTTCAAAATCAATTAATTTAAATGTTTTTATAGCAAAAAATCTGTTGTGAAAATAAATCTCAGCTGATATTATATTTTGTCATTACAATATTAATTAACTATTTCAGTAACCTAACTATTGAAATATTTCAATAACCTTATTGCTATGCGAACTGTCAGTTTGCGCTTATGGGAATCGGTTACAGTCACATGTCATTTTTTGAAGAGGCCACACTGCCGTGTCGGCCAGTTGCGGTCAACTTCTGCTGGTGCGTTTGTACTGACTAACTCTGTATAAATATGACGACGTCTGAGCTTATACACATACATATATACATATGTGTATAGTCTAGCGACATTGCCACATTTATCAGACGCTAATTTTGGCAAATGCATTTCGTATCGTTTTATCGAAATTACAACAACTTTAATTTCCATTATTTCAGAGAGTAGACGGTAAACTCATGTTTTTTTTTTTAATAAAAGATTCGTTTTTCTATAATTTGTATTGTAGGTAGTTAAACAAAAAGCAATCTTTACGGAATATTTGCAAAAATTGGCGTTGTCCGTAACTTTGGTACGAGTATTACCCTAGCTCTGATCAATATTGTACGACTTTATTGAATATTTTCGAAGCTTTTTGGCAAAACCAGTTATGTATATGTTTCGTTTGATGTTTAAACTATTTTAGAGGAAAGAAATTGCTTTATTAGGGCAAAACTTGTTCATAATCATGAAAATGTCAACTCTAGAATCAGTTACCAAAAGCTCAAAATTATGATTATTCAATAGCATATATCTCGAGAACCCAACGGTTAATAATTTTTTTTCAAATTTCTTAATGTGTATTTTGCCTTCATAAACATTATAGCCCGTATTCAGAAATCGCTTTTAGTGCTAATAGCGTGCTTTTCAATTATTTGTTAGTGAGTTTAAAGGTGACCGTATTCAGAAACGCTTTTATGGTCACTCTTAAGATCACTAACATCTAATAGCGCGCTATTGGCGAAAAAACCTATTCAGAATCGCTTTTTAGCATTTAACAGCGCGCTATTAGGCGCCACCTTGGGACTAACAGCGAGCTATTCGAAGATGTGGGCAGGGACATGTTTAAAGTGACAGGTCGCTCAAATATGGCGGACCAGATGGAGGCTATTGCCGAGACAGATGAAGTCCGCGAAGTTAATGAAATGAGAGTAAGAAATCCGCAAGTTTTTCGAGAGAGACGTGATCCGTTTCGTACGTGACATCATCCTTAGGCATTTCGACAGTGTTCAATGCTCAAAAGGCTATCAGATTTGTGGGGAACTTCATCCTCCACAAAATTTTCCAGCCAAATTTTATTAATTTTGAAATCTAGCCCAGAAGATTTTGAGAGAGCAGAACCTCCACCTGTACCACTCGCACGCTTGCGATAGCAAGAAATAGTCTTCTTTGCTGTGAGTTTCCACCGCTGATATGCATCTCTTATATCTTTCCATTCCCTCTTAATTCCAGTCGCTGCCATTATCTCTGTCAGTTTCATTCATTTGTCTCTTCTACTCTTTTGCAATCAAGCATTATTTGCTTTATTCTCTAGTATATCACGATTGTCGCTTACAAATTGTATGACTAATGCTTTTTCTTTGAGGGTGAAATTCTCCTTTCGTTCCATGATGATCTACAACCATTTATTTATTTTTTTCATTTTCATGTCATGCCTGTCTTATAATCGTTTTAACGTATTAATTGAATTATAATAGCTTGGCTTCAAGAAAGGGAATTCTTGGATTTCGAATTTCAAATATGGCTACAGTTTTCACCAAATATGAAGGCCGCGCTTTCCGAATGCCACCGAATACTCCCGAACATAATCGAATATGCCCGAGTCTTCACGAATGATTCCGAACGTGGTTGAAAGTACATGTTATAAGACGCTGCTCCCTGTTAGCGTACCTTTAGCTAAAAGCGGCTTAAAAGCGAGTTATGAATACGGGCTTATATTTGTTAGTCAAGTTGAAATATTTGAAATGCTCCACCCTCCTTAAGTTTGACATTGACATCTCTAGCAATGAGGAATAAATCCTGATCTTGTACAAATTTTATTCTTATAAATATTAATGTTTTTAACAAAATTGAAACAATATGGCATAATATAGAGGTATAAGCTGTACGTGAAATAGCAACAAAAACTTACTTGTACTCTTAGTTTTGTATACAAATATTTTATATATATATTTTCTATGTTACTTATAATAAATGATGGGCTCCTAATTATTGCGTTACTAAATTATAAGAATTATGCAAGGAAAAGTTATGTAATCAAAATTAGATAAGTTATTTTTTGAATAGGAAGTTTATGAATTAGAACAAGTAGAACTAAAATATGTTCGATTTTAGAGTACTGAGGATCGATGGATTAGTTAGTCGTCGATATGTAACGTAGAAGGAGAGATCGCTTGTATTTGTGTTGTGCCAGATTTTTAAAATTGATATAATTGGTATACATATATGCAGGTGTGTAAATTGCGTGGACCATCCTGTATAAAATCTTTATTAAAATTAATGTTACAAAATGACAAAGAATCAAGTCAGGTATATAATTATCAACAAAATTACGTGAAATGATAGTTCATTCTTTTAATAAATGGAAATAATTTTATTAACTTCATTATTATAATTATACATTTAATTAAATATAAACGTTGATTTTCGATCAGTCATTGCAGATAAAAAACTGAAGCGCTCCGTATATTTTTGCTTCGTCATAGAGTAAGCTAAGTGACGGTGTAAAATTTTTTTTTCAAGATCTTCATGACACCATGTTCGAAATGTGCCAAAACGTGTGCTAAAACACATTTGGTGAAAATCTCCGGATGTATGTGTGTGTAATGGCCTCCCAAAATTCAAACTTATATAACTCGAGAACGGTTTTAGCTATAGCCTCGAAATTTTGCAGGAACCTGCAGCTCTATAATCCCTTCATTGACTATAATTTTCATCATAATTCAAGCTGCGGTTCGGATTTTATTTCATTTTCAAATTCTCAAAAAAGGACGTTATCACTCTAGCAACTGCAAATTTTGTGATACTCGTGTAAATAGTTCTTGACTAAGAGATTTGTATCCAAGATTGATTGGTATTGCATTTAGGCCGAATCCATCCATAAATATTCATTTCATATTTTGAATTTTTCGAAAAATCAAATTTATCAATATAACTCCCATCAACTTTGACCGATTCAGCTTCAACTTTCCAAAAGTATAGAACATCGTTCAGCCGTGATATGTATCAAATTTGGCGGAGATCGGCAAAACGGATCTGATTCTATACATATTCAAGTTTTTAAATTTTAAAGTCCCTATATGAGAAAGTCAAGGATTTAAATTTTGCAATTTGCTTCCTCTGAATCGTCAGCAGTAAATGAAGATCCATCTATCAGGAAGCCAAATATTAAAAAAAAAATGAAAATGTTTCCTCATATAGGGACTTCGTACACTACCTAAAATACGGAGGAAGCAAATTGCAAGTTTCAACTTGCCGCTTGTTTTCTTCTGCGTCACCCAATATATACTATATAAATAAAAATAATAAAGTTGCTCTAAAAAGAGTGGTTTTTAATAGTTGTACACTGGCGAGTTTTTTATTTGTTTCATTTATGCTTCATAATTGTGAGTTTATAAAACTAGATTAATCAGTACACCATAAAATTAATTACATTACAGTACTAATTTTTAAATACTCTTATACAGTCCATTCTACGGATAAAACAACTGCATAGTTAGATAATATAATCACATATCGTTTTTGCCATCTTTACTTATACATTTCTGTGGCAGGAATATCGATTTCTGAATAAGAAACTATATAACTGTTTATGCAACTTATTATTTCAAATTCTCAAACAAAATCCACAATTTTATTTGTATAAAATATAAAACAGGATATAGGTGAGATATAATATCAAAGGCATTATTGTAAAAAGTATAAAATTAATGATAAAGATTTCTAAACGATTTTAACATTTTCTTAAATTTAGTTTACTAGAGCTTTATTACGTAATTTGATTTTACCTTATTTGTTTTGGTAGATCTTTGGCTTTATGTGTCACACTTTTTATTCTTGTTTTCTGTCACAAAAACGTATTCTGCTTCTTCCACAGAAATATTTATCACTACACTCAGTAAATAAAATATAACACGATAAAGTATACCATTACTACAGTTTGATAATTTCGTTTTTAAGTTGCAAGTTCTGTACTTTCTTTTTCTTATGACACTTTATATATATTTACTCCATATATACAAAGTATATGCAGCTATAATCATTTATTTTATCAAAAGATTTGCTATCGAACTTCAAATATTATTATTTAGAGTGGTAACATGCTATGACACAACACTGTTACCAGCACCAATATATTTATCATTTTTTGATAGAAATGAAATTTTTTAATTCAACTTTATCTTTACAGGCTACTCTCAATGAAAAAAAATTATCCTACCTACAATCATCATTAATAATAACAGTAGAACTACATTCGGATGTGTGTTTTTGCATCTCTCTTAACTGTAGGAACTCTTGATTGCACTTTCGACAAATAAATGGTGCACCTATATGGGTTTCCTTATGACGCTTTAAGTGATGTGACATTGTGAAACTTTTATTGCATATATCACACTTAAAAGGGGGTACTTTACCAGTATGCTTGAGTAAATGAGCTTTCAGGGAAACTAAATAGCCAAATTTTTCCACACAGAAATTGCACTTATACTTTTTCTCTCCCATGTGTTGCACCCTATGATTTTTCATTTGAGTTATACAACGATAGCTTTGCTGACAAATGTCACACGTATATGGTTTTTTATCAGTGTGTATCAAATTATGCTTCTTTAAATTACTTGATGTTTGAAACTCCTTAGCACAAATATCACATTTAAATGGTTTAAAACCAGTGTGTGTTAAAACATGAACTTTCAATGTACCTTTGCAACGAAAATTTTTGAAACATATTTCACAGGAGTATGGTTTTTCACCAGAATGTGTACGCATATGTTTTTTCAGGTGACTTAGGTAGTTATATGCTTTGTTACAAAATATGCAAACAAAGCGTTTGTTATGTTGTTGTCCACTAGAAATGGATGGCTGGTTTTGCTTCTTGTCAAATAGACTTACATTTGATGATTCAGATGCTGCATGATGAATTTGTTCTTCTATGAAAACCTTTTGACTTGAAGCTTTGAATTCCACTGATTTTGAGAATAAACAGAAGTTTGTGTCTTTTAGTTCATCCTTAACACATACTGTACTGTTTTGTTCCTTATGTTGATATGTGTCTTCGTCGTTTATATACTCTGACAATCGTTCCATTTTAATATTCATATTTGGCTGTACAGACATATATTTAATTAATATATTTGTCATTATCATTGAGTACGATCAATGAATTCATTCTCAATAAAATATTCTCATAAACAGTGAACAATTCATAATGTTCCAATCAGAAATGAATATCTTTTCATTACAGTATTATACACTGTACATGAATTCTTAAGTATTCCATAGGAACTATACCTAACATGAATTTTATTACCTCTAATTCAAGCGAGGTTGTGTCAGTTTTTCTATCCATTGAAATACGTCCCTTCTAATTTGACGTACTGTTTGAGAAATTATTCATACAACAATAAAAATTTGTTTTTTATATTAGAAAGTATTAATGGAGGTTACAAAATGTAAGTGGTGTTAACAAGTAGAAGAAGCGTATATAAATTAGACAAGATGCTTTTCCGCATAGCCACTACGGGTGCGTTCCATTTAACGCTCGCAACGATCGCAACACCCTCTGTCTCGTTCCACTTAAGGCCGCGGTCACTGTGAGCAGTCCCTGAAACGTCATCGATGACGTCATCATTGGCGACCGCGATGCGATCGCTTCGCTTACATCAAATAAGTGGGTCTTTGTGGTCGTTTGATATTTTTGTGCGCCATTTTCAATTCAAATTTATGATGGAGACTGAAAAAATAACGCTGTACGATTCCGAGAGGGATATATTACTTGAATTAAATGTTCCTGTACAAGATGCTTTGCGTGCGAAAAATGGTACATGATATTATTGTCATCTGAGCTTGATGAACTCTCAGAAACATAATTCCGTTCACGCATTAGCCTTATACACATATTCTCTACAACACCAGCCATCTTTGTATCGTTCACAATTCCGATAAGTCGTTCCACTTAAGTTTTTGACCACGACGTCCACAAGAGTCCACAAGCTAGTGGAACACGAAATCTTACGGTCGTGGACGCGAGCATTGCGAGCGTTAAGTGGAACGCACCCTATGTATTACCAGAGATGAGTAAGAAGATTGCATCCATGGAGACTACATAAGGAGCACGAACTCCATGTATACATACAGCCACAGACCACTTACTGGAGACCTTCCTTCCTTCCTTTCCTTATGGCTGTATCCCCAATGGGGGACATGTGCCAGTAACTGGTCCTAATAATCAAGGGTGGAAGTTCGACAATAGATGGCGATGTACCTTGCGAGACGGGCCTTATTCAACTCAGCGTGAGGGGACCTACAAAGTTTATACACCGAATCCGAACAGTGTTGGGCGAAATCCGTATAAATAATCACTTAAGTTTTCATATGAAAACCCACTGGTGAATGCCGCTGGAAGCTGGGCAAGAACCTCCAACCTTTCGGTCGTGAATCCGCTACCCTATCCACTCGGCTACGGCCGCCCACACTTACTGGACACACGGCACTCCCGTACTTTAGACCAGTGATGAGTGGGGAGATGCACAACGCTACGGTTTTACGCGATACCAAAATTATAGCGCTAAATTGTAGCGGCGAGTCTGGAAGTAGGATATAGTGATCATCGCCTCCGTCAATAATGCGGATTACGAACGTGTAGCATGGCGAGCAGTGGCTCTTCGTTACTTACCGCTGGTTCCCGAAACAACACTTACAACGAGGCAGCTCAAAGAATATAGCCTAAATATTTATTTTCTTTACAATCCTAAGTTCGAGCGTAAAGTGTCAGCTCGGTTGTCGTATGACAAAAGTCAGTAACTCATGCCTGCCTGCACTGAAGTGTATGATGCCACCAGTATACGGAATAGATATTTTACGGATATTGCGCAATAGAACTATTGTTAAAACCTATCAGAAACTATAGAACTCTTCCAGAACTATTTAAAAAGCCTATTGTTGAATCATTTTTAAGAGATTTTAATAAAGTGTGGTGCTTTACCTGACACGCGAATAGCACCAAAATTTTTGGAAAATTCGTATTTTAACGATGTTACGCAGCAGAACTATTGTTAAAACCTATCAGGAACTATAGAACTCCTTGAAAACTATTGAAAAAGCCTATTGTTGAATCATTTTTAAGAGATTATAAAAAAGTGCGGTGCTGAAACTGGCACCCGTGTAGCCCATCAATTTTTGGAAAATTCGTGTTATAGCCTATCAGGAACTATAGTTCTCCTCGAGAACTATTTAAAAAGCCTATTGTTTAATTATTTTTAAGAGATTTTAAAAAGTGCGGTGCTGGAGCTGACACCAGTATAGCATCTCAATTTTTGGAAAATGTTTCATCAATAGGCTTTTTCAATAGTTCTCGAGGAGTTCAGTAGTTCCTAATAGGTTTTAACAATAGTTTTGCTACGTAACATCGTTAAAATACAAACTTTCTCAAAATTGAGGTGGTACACGGGTGTGTAGCACCAGCACAGCACTTTTTAAAATCTCTTAAAAATAATTGAACAATAGGCTTTTTCAATAGTTCTCGAGGAGTTCTATAGTTCCTGATAAGTTTTATCAATAGTTCTGCTACGTAACATCGTTAAAACACGAATTTTACAAAAATTGAGGTGCTACACGGGTGTCACTCAGTTACGTCCGACGCAACGCAACCCCTTTGCCCCCCCCCCCTTCAGCACCCCTCAGTACTCCCATTAGCAAAGGTTAAGGACCACGACAGATGTAACCGATTCTCGACGAACATGCGTTAATTATTGTAAATCATAGATTACATATAAAAATTAATAATTAAGGGATATCATCATATTCTATTATAATGTACACGACATCTCATACTCTCACACATTTCCAGAAATTACACCAACACTGTGACATTGCAGGTGGATGAGCAGGAAGAAAGAGAGATCACGGCAAACAAAGAATAAGAACGGCACGGGCAGCAATGCTGAACAGGATACCTAGAATTGAGGTGCCTAAAGAGCATTTTACTATAGCACCGTGAATACCGCGCACAGCAGAACTCCTACCCGTCACCTTCGCACCCACCTCACCACCAAGATAATCCTGACAATGCACTAACCCAAAGAAGAATCCGCGATCGAAGGCCTGTAATGAGAATTCGATCGAACGACAGGGTTCAGTCGCCCCGATCACGCCGTAACACGTATCCAAATTCCCCGAAATTTCCTGACATTGCATTCAATCCCCTCCAAACCCAAAATCTTCCTTACGAACTCCAATGCCGATCATCCTCCGTTACTAATCAGTCCTCTAGTAGAGCAGTATCCCTTTTGGAGTCTTGAGCCGATTGTCCGCGCCAGTTAAGTGTTGTGCCGATCAAATACCTTAGGGCCTATTTTGATCTAGCTTGCCTTAGGACCCAAGCGAAAAGTGTATCTCTTCAGTGCCGGGCGTCCACGCGAAAAGAACTTATTTCTTGGCATTTCAATAAGCATTCCTCTAGGCGAGTGTCCACCTTAGGGCTGGACCAAGAATTTACCGTTCAACCAAATCTGTTTCACTATCGTCGAGAACCGAGCGCCGTCTCTCTCTCTTCCTCTGCTCATCCACCGGTAACTAACTCACATTTCTACATCTTTATATATATATATATATCTTTGTAACTCACAATACAGAAGTTGACGATCACACATACATTGTTATTCAGATTTCATTTAGTTAGTAGATTAACGTACACTCAGTACTGCATATAACTGTGACAGTTACTTGTACTCCTGTTTATCATTTCATTATATTGAGTTAAACTATATTTTCTTCTCTTGATTTCGAGACCTGAACCTATTAGCTAATAAACCCAGAGAAACCCCTTACCAGTAGCTTCAACCAAACTCCCATAGAAGGAGTGAGTTTTCCAAATCAATATATTTAGTACCTGGTTGTGATCCTCATCTTAACTATCGACCAAGGGGCATAAACGCAAATAGGGGTGCTTTAGCACATTAAAGTGGCAAGAACCCAATACCTTTTACGTGATTTTTGATCTCAACACCTATGCTAGCTCCCTGATGCTCTCGCATACGGTCGTTCACGCATAGGACGTAACAATTCTAGCACCGCACTTTTTTAAAATCTCTTAAGAATGATTCAACACTAGGCTTTTTCAATAGTTCTCGAGGAGTTCTATAGTTTCTAACAGGTTTTAGCAACAGTTCTATTACGTAATATCGTTAAAATACGAATTTTCCCAAAATTGACGTGCTACCCGGGTGTCACTCTAGCACCGCACTTTATTAAAATCTCTTAAAAATGATTCAACAATAGGCTTTTTCAATAGTTCTCGAGTAGTTCTATAGTTCCCGATAGGTTTTAACAATAGTTCTGCTACGTATAACAACTAACAATAGTTCTGCTGTTACGTCGTCAAAACACAAATTTTCCAAAAATTGAGGTGCTCCACGGGTGCCAGGTCCAGCAACGTACGTTTTTATAATCTCTTAAAAATGATTCAACAATATGCTTTTCCAATAGTTCTCCAGGAGTTCTATAGTTCCTGATAGGTTTTAACAATAGTTCTGCTACGTAGCATCGTCAAAACACGAATTTTCCAAAAATTTAGGTGCTACACGGGTGCCAGGTCCAGCACCGCACGTTTTTACAATCTCTTAAAAATGATTGAACAATAGGCTTTCTCAATAGTTCTCGAAGAGTTCTATAGTTTCTGATAGGTTTTAACAATATTTCTATTGCGAAATATCCGTAAAATATATATTCTGTATACTGGTGGCATCATACACTTCAGTGTAGGCAGGCATGAGTTGCTGACCTTTGTCATTTGACAACCGAGCTGACGCTTTACGCTCGAACTTAGGATTTTAAATAAAATAAATATTTAGACTATATTCTTTGAGCTGCCTGGTTGTAAGTGTTGTTTCGAGAACCAGCGGTAAGTAGCGAAGAGCCACTGCTCGCCAAACTACTTTCGTGATCCGCTTTATCGACGGGAGTGATGATCATTAAATCCTACTTCCAGACTCGCCGCTACGATTTAGCGCCACGATTTTTGTATCGCCTAAAACAGTGTACAAGATGTACAGATGTACAGTGTACAGATGTACAACGTTCCGGTTTTAGGCGATACCAAAAGCATGGCGCTAAATCGTAGCAGCGAGTCCGGGAGTAGGATTTCGTGATCATCGCCTCTGTCGGTGTTACAGATTTCGCGTAGCCGCGCGGGTCATGATCATCGTTCCAGCCGATATTGCAGTCAGCGAAATGAATGGATTGCTGGGTGGTGGGGAAAAAGTTGCCGCCCCTCACAAAACGTTCTTGACAAACAGGCGGAACAGCAAGGTCTTCCGTCCAACCGAACCCTAAACGTTTGTATGGACGTAATGCGCAAGCAAATGTGTATATCCAACTAAATTTCAAAGTTATAAAAAATGCATAGAAATATTGGTTTTCACTCTTTACCTCTTATCATGCCGAAAATGAACATTAAAAAATGAATGGCGAAATTCGTTGGTAAATGAAACGACCGAGAACAGTTCAAAGAGAAATTTTGAAATATCATAGATAAATATCTATAAAAAATTTAATTTAGAATTAAACGAGCAACATGGCTGAGTCAATAACCTGTCAAGGTTCCTTTCTTTGAACTTTTCTAGGTTGCCCATAGTTTATTTTATTTTCTTTTGTTCGCCCACGTGGAAAAGGGTGGCGCGAAAGTTCTTAACTGGAGTGCATCTTCATATTATTCCGCTTATATGTAATAAATATATGTTGAATAAACGATGAAATTGTAGAAATACAACTTCCGATAAAAGTAAACCAAACAGATGTTTCTAGCGTCTGGCTAGTGCACCCGGTTACGAATTGGGAGGTCTATGGTTCGAGACTCCTTTATGGAGAGCATTTTTTTCACAAAAAAAAAAATGCTTTTGTAAATGGGATTAACAGATTAAAGAGTATATCAAATTAATTTATTTATCGTACTACAATAAAGGCATAAACAACGACAACCTGCGGGCTTCCACATCACCCAAGAGGTGCCGCAGTCGATGCGTTCCCATTATTTAACATAGCGGGTCCCCACTAGGCCTATACTACGATCAGCGATATCAACAATACACAAATGATCTATTTAAGTAACTAAAGTATAAACGAATGGCAATAGGATATCAAAAGGTTTCGATTAGAAA